CCCGTGGAATAGAGGACTAGATCACGAACGGTATAGTAAAAGCCCGATACGCTTTCTAATCTCCATCACCTGTGGCGCTGCGCAACATCGCTGTCGCCCTGAATGGCCGAGCCTACAACGCACACTTGCGTTCAACCCACCTGTACGGTTGAGAAACCTGATCCATTAGATCGACTGATCTCAGCAGGCTAGCGACTTTCCGTCACTGCTGCCTTCGCAGTTTACCGCATGTCTTGTGGGAACACAAGATGAGCAGTGAGTATGTTCGGCATAGTGTATTTGGTGCAACAAGAGCGAGTGAATCACTCAGCATCAACCCCCGATGGCTGGACCACGCGTTGCGCATGCCAGCACACCGACCTGCCCAAGGTGCATTGTTTGCGAGGCGAAGGTGTGGATGGAAGAAAAGCAGGCCGAACGAGGAGCTGGTCAGGAGGAATGAAGACCTTCACTTCGAAATTGGAGTTGGTTGGTGTTCTCGACTGCCGGGTTGGGGCCCAGAGAATGAACATGCTTGTTTGGACACACGTTTGACATGACGAAGAGCGGACCTCAGTCGCCTTTGCATCGTGAGTTCTCTCCTTCCTCCCGCTCTTACATAGTTTCCGCCTCCGGTCTTGATCTCATATCCGATGCATATCATAATACCAAGCACTGTGTTACTTGTTTTCAGTTATTGTTTTGAATTTGGTAATGTTTAGTACAACGTTTTTTCTTTCATCTTATCGTTTTGCGGTACGGCATACTAGCTGAAGTGACGAGTAGGCACCTGATGTCTCCGCGTCAGTTCGGAGCTGCGCAGTTCATTCTGACGGTTCACATCCGGGCATGGTTGCAGTCCAGTCGATGTGATAAGCTTTAGGCAAGGAGCAAAAGTGTCACTTACAGTGGCATGACCGGTATTTGAGAGTGATATTCCTTCCAAAAGGCACAGTGAGAAACTGCCCCAGTATAGAGTGAAGAAAATCTTATGGGCAATACAGAGAACAGGTCTCACAACTAAACTCCAGACAAGCAGCAGTTAGTGTTCGATAGCGTTTCTAATATTTGGACAAGTAATCCATGTTGACCGATCTGCAACAAAGCACACACTGGGACATAACGGGGCATATTCAGACAAACGGAGGTTTGCTGATTGATAAGAAAGCGAACAGTTGTGAAGCTCCGCAATTATTTATGCGTCGCACTTGGAAGTTGAAGCTCTATAAAGAAAGATGCAAAAGCACTAATTTCTGGAAAGTTACAAGTTAGCTCAGAACCGGGAGACAATGGTGGGAAAGCGCAAGAAGAGAAATAAGAACACAGTAAGGCCTGAACAATAACTAGAAAAAGGTTTATTTTTCGACTGTGCGGAATGAAGTCCATGTTGTTGGTTCGATCGAATCTTTCGTAGGGATCGCAAAATGGTTGATTATTCACCTAAATGGACAAATTACGTGCGTCGCAATTTAATGGGAAGCGTCTTTTAACATGGACAGCCAGTTCCACGAAAAGCAGTGTACCAATCGCATGTTATTTGTTTAGATGTTCGCAAAGATATATGATATGCCGACATATGCTTGGATTGTGGTCTAGGTATGTATTTTCGCAGTAGTCTATATAATAAACATCGGTCCATCTAGAAACCATGGCTTGTGTGTATAATAAACACAATGATTAAAAAAATGAAAATACGCAAACGGAATATTTGGTGTTTTTACCCGCCGTTTTGTCATGTTTGTCAATTTAGAGATTACAGGGTTAATCAGTAGAATCAATGCAAATACTCATGCATGCCTTCCAGTGCCCGTGAGTACTTGCCACGCCCACAAGAGTCAAACCAGCGATGTTCTTCATCTCGAACTTCCCAGCCCGTAAGACGTACAGGGCCCACAACAGCTAGTCTGGAAGTATGCGTCTTGATCTTTTGTCTCCAGATAGTATTTTGGCCAGTCTTACATCTTCAATTGCGGCCCTGCGCAAGCGACAAGAGGGCGCCGTGGTAAACGCTCGCATAGCATGCCTAGGACGTCGCCCATCCACCTCAGTTGGCGCTGCGATATTAGCTTTTCGAGTGGTAGGCCCGTATAACCTAGGACGCGAGGTCTAACATCAGGGTTGTTAAAACGTTGTTCCCAACACACACGAGCTATCATCGGTAGACAACCATTATCAAATGTCGACTTAGTTCCGTACATCAGGACCGCACGAACACAGGCATTATATACCCTACCCCTCACCCGGAATGAAACGTCACGGCTACGCCACAGATGCCTCAGATAAGGGAAAGCTGTCCGGGCTTTGGCAATACGGAGAGAAAGTTCTACTCCAATAGTGCTGTTGAAGAAACGCACCTCACAAGGTAGATGAAGCTATCTACTTGTTCAAGATGCTTGCCTTCAAGAATCAGAACGGGGGTGGATGGATGCCTACACTGGAAAAGAAGTTTGTATTCCGATGAAGCGAATCTCATGCCATACTTTGTAGCTTTAATTACCAAGCGGTTTAGAATGACCTGCATGAGCTGTGGGTCGTCACAGAGCAATGAAATATCATCAGCATAATCCAAGTCAGTCGCGCGGTTGCCTGGAAGAAACGCCTCGTCAGTACTCTGGAGACCTCCTAGGGCACTTATTAAGACCTCTTCAATCGCAAAGTTAAAGAAAAAGGAGGATAGGGAGCATCCCTGTCGCACACCTCTAGTAACGGTGAAAGGTGAAGAGAGATTACGCTAAGCCCTAACTATACCAAGGATATTGTTGTATAAAGCGAGAAATGTGGCGGTATAATTTTCGGGAACTCCATTCCTTTGCAGACAAGGCCATAAAGCATGCCGGTCGACCGAGTTGGAAGCAGATGGATTTCCAAAATGGTGACAGTGTCAGGCTGGCATAAATGGTGGCGCTGTCTGAAGAGTTGGTGGAGCCTAAACATGTGGTCCACACGCCCTCAACCGGAGTGGAAATCAGCCTGT